GGGGAGGAGGGGATGGTGGGCAACGGGGTGCCCCAGGGGATCATGGGAGCGAGGGCAATGGATGGCCCAGGGCACCATGGGGGTTTGGGCAAGGGGTCTGCCCCGGGAATCGTGGGCTTGGTCAGCCATGGCACGGGTCCACGAGGGGCCGCCACGTCGACCCCACCTTAGGGTCTGGAACTTCCCATTGGAGAGCCTTCGGCTTAGCGGCCCGCCTCCCGCCGCCCCACGGCATTATGGGATGGTGGGCAACCACCCATCACCACCCCCCCCCAGGTTCATTGCAACAACATGCACACGCGGGGGGTGAGCATCTTCGGGGAGGTGGAGTGCCGCTTCAAGAGGAGCCTGGCCACGGCCTGGGAGCCCACCCCGGCCACCCACAGCCTGGCCGGGGCCGTCAAGGACCCCAGCGCCCGCTCAGTCACCGTGCCCCTGGGTGGGCGCCAGGCCCGCTTCATCCAGTGCCACTTCTTCTTCGCCGGGGAGTGGATGCTCTTCAGTGAGATCACCTTCCTCTCGGGTGAGTCCTACCACGTCAGGTGACCTCCAGACCTACCTGGGCCTTGGCATCCTCCCCCAACGGATTGGCTCTTGGGTTGGATGGTTGGGTGATGGGGTGGTTGGTTGGGCGATGGGGTGGTTGGTTGGGTGAAGGGGTGGTTGGTTGGGTGATGGGGTCATCGGTTGGGTGATGGGGTGCTTGTATGGAGTGGTTGGTTGGGCGAAGGGGTGGTTGGTTGGGTGATGGGGTCATCGGTTGGGTGATGGGGTGCTTAGTTGGGTGATGGGGTCGTTGGGTGGGTGATGAGGTCACTGGTTGGGCGATGGGGTCATTGGCTGAATGGATGATAGGGAGGTTGGTTGGGTGATGGGAGGTTGGTTGGGTGATGTGGTGCTTAGTTGGGTGATGGGGTCATTGGTTGGGTGATGGGGTCATTGGTTGGCTGAAGGGGTGGCTGGTTGGGTGAAGGGGTCATCGGTTGGGTGATGGGGTGGTTGGGTGGGGGATGGGGGGATCGGGT